GTATTTCAATCTGTTAATATGTGTTTGGCAATCTGGAGTCTCAGAGGAAGATGCAAGAGAGGTCCTGTGCAATGGCAAGAAAGACACATTTCAAAATATACAGAATGAACTAAATACATGGTTCTATCCATGTCTGAAGATTGAGAATCTCAGAGGAAGATACACCCAAAATAAACAGCCAGTTATGAACAGATGAAAATACCCAACAGGGTAACATATACAGAGGGACTGATTGAATAAAAAGATGGGTGACTTTGATTATTTGGATAAGGCCCGTAGTACAGCTGAACTCCGGTATTTGCTATTTGATAGCTGGTGCAATGTTTGGTACTGTCCTCACTGTTCCAATAAAAGTAACCATTTGCTCAATCGACTGCCAAGCTGCACTCTGCAGCTGAGCAAGCCTGAATGAATTGGTCTTCTAAAGAGTTAAGATAAGAAATGGTGCTGGAGAAGCTGACTGTGGCCCATGAGTTAAGAATTGGGATTTTGGGTACCCAAAGCGCCTGCAAAGCTAGCCCTCTGGGGTGGCAGTAGTGCCACAGGATAGATGGACCAACAACCAGAGGAACTAGCAAAACACAGAACACGTACAGCCAACAGATACAACCTAGAGCTCTCTTTCCTAGATTAGAAACTGATACGTATAGCAGAATAGGGCTTTTAGGAAGTGAACATATGATTGCATGTGTATTTTAGGAGAAAATTAGGGCTGCATGAAATGGTAAAACAATGCAATATCCAGAGATCACAATGAATTTGTAGAGTCACTTTATTGTACATTGGCACAGCACGATCAGACATTGTTTGATATCCTAAGAATTGGCTTCAGCTGCCAGTATGGTTTCATGCTTGGGTGGGAGTTAGGTGTCAGTGCTTAAGCAGATTTAAGTCACCAGCTCTCTGCTTTTGGAGGGAGGTGAGCGTGGGACGAGCTGAACTAGCTTTCAGAGGAGTCCAACAAGTGCCAGCACAGAGTCAGGGTGGGAGAAAACATCTGGTGAGCTGTTGGATCACCCACCCTAGCTCATAAAATGCCAGCCCCAAGTTGTAGCTCTGTGAAACACAGTAAGTCAGTGTAACAGCCCACCACTGCTGAAGGGGGAAGTTCTGCTCCTCTCTGTACCGCAGCAGGCTCCTAAGGCCTATGTAGTGCTAGCTCTAGTACACGCTGAACACTGCTCTGAGCTGTTTTACTTTGCTAATCCAAAGGAAAACTAACCTGCATCATTTTCTGAGGTTACCAGGTTAGAATGGCTCAAGATATAACATGCAAGTGTACCCTTCAGTGGGGGCAGCTCTCAGAAGGACTCAAGGATCACACGTTGATGAAGGAGGGGAAGGATTCTGTGACTGGCAATGGAAAGGGGAGAGAAACCCCAAGCAGTCGTGTCAGCTCAGTTGCCCAAGGAACCACAGCGTTTGGGTAAGATTCCCTGAGACACAGCGAGCTGATCCTATCAGCTTACCGCTGTCCTGTTCTCCCATCCTGTCTCTTCCTTCTAGATGTATTCTCCTGTAGTTTGCCTTGTGCTGCTGCCAGTGCTCATAGGACCTCCTAATAAGCTGCTTTAAGTCATCAACCCAGCACAAAATTAACCCAAGCTCATCTTTTCAATGCCCAGTGATAATGAAACACAACAAAACAGACATAGAGAACACACTTCATCCTTCTGAGAGTAGTGTACCTGGCCCAACGTGCTTTCATGGCATAACTCCACAAGCATGAGGAAGTAGTGGAAGCTCATGCTACATGCTGAGCCATAAGGAAGCACTGGAAAGGAGGGGTAACTGGGAGCCATGACTGAGAATATCAGATTCCACTAGTAAACAATATCCAGGGATACTCTGGGCCAAGGAGCAGGACAAGTATGAAGTGGCCAACAGTTCACAGAATTGCATGATCTTTTGAAAATCTCCAATATATAACAGATCATTAAGCATATAATAACTCATGTTTTAGAATACGAAGTGCATTTTTCATACATTAAAAATATTATTCCTAGCTATCTGGAAATGCCATGATACTATTTTATATTTGCAGCTAAACTCACTAACAGTTTTATAGTCAAAGTAGCGAGCACCCTCTACTTCTATCCACTTTTGGAACAGCTGAGTGCACTAACCACCTGAGAGCATATGCTTCGTTTTCTCTTGCAGGATGGGATCTTAAAGACAATGGCAGTCCAATCAGCCACATCAGTCAGGAAAGCAAGCAGTGTGCTACCAGACAGGAATGTGACAGGTTTTCACTTTCCTGACAAAAGCAAGGGTTCTCAGACTATGGGATGGCTCATGTTTGGATATGGAAAGATGCCTGTTCTCAGGTGCTATGATTATTTTTAGGAAGCCTACCTTAACAAAGTGAAAAGAGAAGGGTCTAGGACTTCTCCCATGAGTGGCATTGATTGCTACTTGGACTGTGGTACAGACAGTCTGGATTTGGAACTGAAGGCTTTTTCAGCATTGTGAAAGTTAGTAAAATTAAAGCAAGAAAAACTTGCTCATTGGATAAAACTTCCGTCTCATATTGCTGTTCATAGCGGAGCCCTCAAACAGAAAAGGCAGTGATAGTGTGCTCTTGGACTACCTGCATTATCTGAGTTTGAGATCCAAAGATAAAAATCTATCTGTTGGTATAAAATAAGCCTTCACCTTCCTCTGCCAGGATATACAGAGAAAAGTTGACTTGGCCAAGAATAGCCCAGAATTTTCCTTTTGAGGCTGTCCAGTCAGCTGTTAGGGCATCCAAAGCACCAATAGGCCTTAATTACCCTGATCAGCATCCCCTGGGACCACCACTCGCACACCCTCTGCCTGTTGGTCCAGAAGCTCCATTTAAGCTCAGGCCTGGGCCTTCAATCCCTTGCTTGTACTGTGCTATAGTTGTGCCTGTCTTCAGCCCTGTCTGCTGGATACACGTTGGACCTATGCTATAAGCTTGTCTCCAGCCAGTCTCTTACTCACTCTCCTGCTGCTCTTGACTGGACCCCATGGCTGGACCTTGTACCTGATTCATCACTCTGCTTCATCTGGGACTACAGAAGGATCCTGCTGTCAGCATCCTTCTTTGGGTGCTGTGGGACCACACCTGGTCAGTGAGGGCCCTGCCTGTGCTGTAGTCACCTTGGGCACCTGGCTCACCCTCCCTTGTGGAGCAGTGCTGCTCTGGCTGCTCCCAGGCACTCTCAGAAGGTAGGCAAAGGGTAGCCTGCAGAACGAAGAACCACATGCTTGAAGACCAGCATAATCTTTCAAAAAAAAAAAAAAAAGAAGAAGAAGAAAGAAAACAAAGGAGACCTCTTTCTCGTTATTCTCAAATATTGAAACTAACTGGAATAAGGCTTTAACAGTAGAGGCAGATATTTAGATAAAGTAGTGGTAAGAAAGAGGCATTATTTTCCAAAAAAAAAAAAAAAACTTTTTAGTTAGCTATGAGCAGTAACATTTGCAAAGTAACTACTAAAACAATCACTCTAGAAGTTCCTTCTTTTATTGTCTATGTGGCTCTTACTAGAAAAATGCTATATACTGAAGTCCTAAGAGCAATTTTTACAAGTCTTCTTCACTGTTTACTTATACTTGCTGAACTGTTAGTGCAGACAAGTGAATTCATCCCGCCTATGGCCTAACTTCATGCTCATTTTACACAGGCGGAGCGCTGCAGAAGCTGTCTCTGTAGCACCCGCGGGTTGCCCCAGACTCTGCGCCTACACGCGTTACAGGGAAGGGAGGTACTACGGCCTCGGGGAAGGAGAAGGGCTCTGCTCAGCTGTCGCCGAGGAGAGGGCGGACGCCGGCACTCGCTGCCCGCCCTGCCTGCCTGCCCG